ATGTTACTGTTCTTTGATCATCATCTTCCTGCGCTATTTCGTCCTCTTCAACATCTGCAATATCGTTCAATGTGCTTTCTTTTCTGTATTCATCATCTGTTTGCGTAGTTCTTTCCTCAACTACTCTTTCTGATGAGGCAAAAGAAAAGTTATTTACCCTGCAGTTAAGAGGGCGTTCATAGAAAGTGACATCTCGTGACCTGACTAGTTTCTTATTTTCTTTACACCAGACTCTGTATCCATCGTCATTATCGTATCCAATTAATATTCCCTTAATTGCTTTCTTGTCTAACTTCTTCCTAGACTGTTTGGGAATATGTGCGTAACAAGTACTTCCTATGATACGTAGGTGCTTCAGGTTGGGCTTCTTGGTAAACCATACTTCATAGGGTGTCTTACCATCCTCTCCTGATTTTCCTGTCCTATTTAGTAGGTAGGCGGCTGTGGTTATAATCTCAGCCCAAAGATACTGAGGCAGTTCAGCTCCTGAATGCATTATGGTTCGTGCCATTTCAACAATCGACCTGTTGTCTTTTTCTGCACACCCGTTTTGTTCTGGTGTGAAGGGCATCACTAGTCTTTGTCTAACTCCGTTCTGATGGAGGATTTCTCTAATTTTTCCGTTGTCGAACTCTCCACCGTTGTCACTTAAAAGCTCTTTGACGACATGTCCAGTAGCTTTTGTCTCTGCAAGCATGATTTTGAGCTTCTCAGATACCTCGGATTTTTCTTTGATTGGAAAAATATATCTGAATCGGCTGTAATCGTCTTTGAAAAGAACGTAATATCGAAAATGAGTTTGTGAAGGTACAAAAGGTCCGCAAACATCGGTATGGATTCGCTCTCCTGGTACCGTTGACCTTTCTCTTACTCCAAATTTCTGTCGATGTGCTTTACCAAAGATACACCCTTCGCACAGTTCGCTATCCAGCGTGACTCTTATTCCAAGTTCTCTAGAGATTACTTCTTTCACGTGCTTTTTGTTCTGGTGACCTAATCTCTCGTGATATAACTGTAATAGATTATCAGTAGCGACAGAAGTTACTTGAACTGTATTAAGAGTACCATTTTTGACATGAAGCTTGAATAATCCTCCAAAGCGATTCCTGGTTCCCACGAGGAGTACTTTCTTATCTAAGATAAACCTACATTCTTCAGCTTTCGAGAGAAAGTTACTTTCTGGGTGTTTGTCTTGAGCAGATAAGACGGAGAACAAGTTTTTCTTAATCGAAGGTACGTACCATACGTCTGAAAGCTTGAGCTTTTTCCACTGGTCATTGACTTGTGCCTCGATCGATAAACTACCTTTCCCAATAGCTTCTACAGAGTCTCCATTAGCGGTTGTCACCTTGTGGTCTTCTCCGAAGTACTCGAACGATTCATACAGGTCACGTCTGTTAGTGATGTGATTTGTGGCCCCGTTGTCGACAAACCAGCTCTCTGAATCACATTCAGTGGTAAGAACGATATCGGAACAAGCATATAACGTTACGTTTGTATCAGTAGCATTTTCTAGTGCGTTTCCGTTGGCGGTCGTATTGGGTTTTGGTGGTTTTCCATCAGCTTTCCACTTTGTGCACTGTTTGACTCTATGTCCGGCTTTTTTGCAATAATGGCAGATTAAATTCTTGGTTGATTTGCGTGCGCTGAATCTTCTGGTGCTATTTTCTGCCACTAAAACTTCTTGGATAGTTTCACTTTTGTTTGATAATGCCTTTCCGAATGCACTTATTTGATATGTGAGATTATCAATAGTTTTATCGGACTTCGACATTAGCATCCAGCTGGATTTAAAAGGAAAGTATTCCTCTGGTAGTGTGGCCAGAATCTTGCAGATCAGTAGCATTTCGGGTAAGTCACAAGCGCAAGAACTGTTTGATGCTAGTTTATCGTTAACAATTTCTGATTGTAATTCATTCCACAGGTTTTTCAGCTTGGACATGTGAGTTACAATATCGTCTTCTAATTGTTTTCGGTAGTTGAAGAATTCCATGCACCTATCGTACATTTTATCCTCTGTTCTGGCATCAAATAGTCTGTGGAGTTCCAGCCATACGTCTCTTGCGGTAGAATATCTCATTACCTTCTGTAATGTTTCTTCCGTCATGTTCGTGGTAAGAGCTAGAAGTGCGGAATTGTCTGCCTTTACGAATATTTCGAGTTCCCTCTCAAATATTTGTTTTTGTGCTGGAGTATCATCGGAAGTCACAGGTTTTTTCAATTTACCTTCAAGGACATCTGTGGCGTGAGGGACTCCTCTCAGGAGTATACACATTTTATATTTCCAGGTGGACCAATTACTTTTTCCTTCCAATAGTCCTACTTGGATTCGCAATGTTCCGGTTGCAACATCCATCTTTTTCTTTACAAATTTGCAGAACTTGGGTTTTTCTTGGAAAAATTAGTTCGCCTGGGTGCCTGGGCCCGTAACCTGTTAATGTTATCGATGTTTTGTGGAAGCTAAACCTTTAAAAGTAAATAAAATGTTTAGAAAGACTTTTGGGTTTTTTATTAATCAAACTTAACTCTATTATTCCATTTCTATGACAACCACTTATATTGAAGTAAGTGTATAAGTGTAAAGACTAAATAAATTATATAATGATTACTTCAACAATATCTTCCATAAGCCATATGCAGGATGCGGAATATACTCCAATTCCTTAAACCTCAACATAAAATGGGCTGTGAGAAGTAGTGGGAATGTAATTCACTGAGCTCATGGAGGTTCTCATAGCAGTAAAAGACATCACCAGAAACAATCACTGGTAGGAACATGCTCATCTATGCAGATAGCAGATAAGCACTACTTACCCTGAACATAATACGAATTTACTCAGGGTTAGTACTAGAATGTCACGAAGAGTAAGTGGTAAGAGTATTCATGTGGTCACCTTAAGATGGAGCAAAGGTGACATTATTCGCTCCGTGCGCGACAGCAGCGCCAATTCGTTTTGATACTAATGGACTATTTCTGAGTACACTGACAAATGCAACTTTTAATAGAATTCGTAATTAAAAAGTATATATGGTAGTTTTAATAAAAGTATATGGATTTGTAAAACAAGTAAAACATTAATTTATTATTATTATATATTTTTATCGCTTAAATTAAAGAAAATTATGTATAATCGATAAAAATGAATAATAAAATATAGGCAGGCAACAGTATTTACTGGAAATTGTATGAGAAGTTGCCTAAGTCTAATAAGTTTTTATTGAAGAATTACTCCAATCTGTCAAAATAAAAAAATACCATTTAATAATAGCGTGAAGTTAAAATGTATAAAAGAAGGATCATTACTTATATTTTTATTTTTGTTCGAAAGAAAACATAATGATTAAAACTGATTTCCCATCAGTAAGTTACAAAATTGCGTTCCAACCACATATAATAATCAAAGGCAGAAATCTTGAAATCTAGTCCTTGCTGAATGAACATTTAAGAATAAGGGATATTAAAGAACATGGTAAAATGATAATTTATTGTTGATTTAAAACCTTTCAAGTTTCTGATGTCTACTATTTGCAGCATTACGGTTATTATTACAAAAATAAAGGTAATTTTTCTTCTTATTGTATATCTATCCATTTATTTCTTTGATTTAATTTCCACTTTGCTACTGAAATTTTTTATATAAGTTTCACTGGTTTTTTTGCTAGTATTTGTTCAATTTTCAACACAGCAACTCCGGTTGCTTATTGTATTGTTTTTACCTACTTTTTTGAAAAAAAGTAAAATGTATACGTGTATTTGATATGTCAAAATTACAAAATATCGCCCTAAAGTGCACGAATTATCCGCAGCTAGCGCTAGTATCGCTTTTGCTTCCCTTTCCATGACTTCGCACGGAGCGAATAGATGATTCACTAGTCAAGAAGGCGGCCAACCAAATACTTTTTGAACCCGGCCCTTCTCTTGAAATGACATGCAACATCGGTAGTGACAGACCTAATTAAAGAATATTCCCTTGTGAAATTGAAGGAAAGATGGGATGAAACAGGAAACTGCTGAGTTACCAGGAAGCTTTTAAGTTATCCTGATAACACTAAAATAAACAAATACTTGACTATGACTAGACAGAATCTGCGTCTGATCACAGGCATTCTGACTGGTCATTGCCAAGTACGGAAGCATCTTAATATTATGGGGCTGTCAGAATCTGCACCCTGCAGAGGGTGCTAACAAGAAGATGAGACCATTATACATATCCTCTACGATTGCTAGTCGCTCTCATTTATTAAACGATATTTGTTTTCGGCGAGTATTGGCTGGCGCACGAGTTATAGGAGGTGCTTATCATTTTCTGATCCTAGTGAAGCCTTAGTGCCATGGGGTAACCCACCCTCTACACGTTACATATCTAGAAGTACTGTAGATAGCTGGAAATGTATTTCGATTGCATCCTGATAGCAGCGACTTAGTTCCTCGAAGTGAGTTTGTTTATTTACTGTTTTAATTCGCATGGTTTGTAAAACAAAAAAAATTACATATTTAAATAAAAGAGTAAGAAATTAAACAATGCATACTACGTTGGCGTAAATTATCATTATAGGTAATACTGATTTAGAAATAAAAAAAACATTGACGGCCAGATGCAAGAGCGTTCAATAAAATTTACGAATAACGCAATGTATTTTTTTTAAATTCAAATTTTAAAATTAAACTAAATTCTAATTACTACTTAGTTAAATGCAACTACTTAACTATACTGCAATTTTGACAAAACGCTAAAAATAATATACCAAACGTTGCTCTACATAAATTGACAGCTATATTTGACGTTAAACCACCTCTAAAACACTGAGAAAACTTGGCAGTTTTTTTGTCCACGAATCGCCCATTTAGTTTCGCTTCTTGGATAGGTATTCTTTGGTATTAGCAAAATGAGTAATTGTTTCACGGAAAGAAATAGTCGTTCGTATTATTTGTGAGACATGGCTTTGAGATTATTTTTCTTTAATAAACTTGCTAATATTTAGAATATAATTTCACTTACTATGAACATTGTCTGGATTATCCAGAGGTTTTGAACCTCCCCAAATAACAGCAAAAGGAACCGTAATATTTGATGCTCCAGATGTGTAGAAAAATTCCATGACATCACAGTAAATAGTATCACCTAGTAGTTGAGCATTTACGCTAGTAATTCTTCCTTCTATATTGAATTGACATACGAATCTAGTTTGAACGATGAACTGTCCGATGATATGGACTTTGACTTTAATAGCCTTCTTTGTTCCAGAAGCTACCAATATTTCTGGCGAAATTCCGACTGTTGCGTTTATTCTGGGACAAAAGCCTGGACCTGATCTGTAACTTGGTATTGTCCTCTGCAAAGGAAATTAAAAAGATTAGTATAAAAGAGTAGAATATGCAAATTGTCTCTGTTGATATCAAAGGTTTCTTGGCGAGGGGCAAACCGCTGAGTAAGTCTGGTGTACAGACTCAAGAAAGTCCCTTGGAAATAAATGGAAGTCCATGGAAGTTAGTGAGAAGTCTTGAAAGTCAGGAGGAAGTCCATAGAAGTCATGATGAAGTCCATGGAGTCACGATGAAGTCCATGTAAGTCAGGAAGAAGTCCATGGAAGTCAGGGTGAAGTTCATGGAAGTCATGATGAAGTATATAGAAGTCATGTGAAGTCTATTAAGATTTCGTGAAAATGCGCATGCGTCTCGGTCATCAGGTGACTGAAATTATGTGGTGGCATGGACGTACGGAGAAAATTATTAATTAAGTATATTATATATACATACACTAAGAAAAAACAAATATAGAAGGGAGCACAATAATTTAAAGAAAATTAACCTTATTTTAATATTATATCTTTATCAAAGAAGAGGACTCTGGGATATATGTATTTATTCAACTATAAATAATTACTCCTAATAGTTATTGTATAATTATACCTAACATAAATTTTTGTAGGTACCTTTTACTCAATTTATTTTGCTTTGATACGAAAAGAAATGTTTACATTAAAAAAAAAAATAACAAATATATCAATTTCCAAAGTCTAAAGGTACAAAACAGAACAACTTTAAAGTGAAACACAATCGACATACAGGGTGTCAACTTGAAATCTTGCCACCCATAATATGCAGAGTGTCTGCAAAAGGTATTTACAAAAACATACCACATAGGTCCCTTTACACCACAGGTCATTAAGAAATAAGCCAAGCTTAAAATTACATTTTTCCATTAAAATGTCATTTTAACCTTCGCTTATTTTTTAATTACTAGTGGTGCGAATGGCTTTTATTTTTTGAACCAAAATAAGCCGATTTAAGTAAACTTACCTCAGTACAAAGTTCGTTTCTCCTTTATAATTTTAAAACGGCTCATCCGATTCTGCTTAAATTTATTATGTTAACAGTTTTATTTGACAAAAAAAAATGTATCAAAATTATTCACTAATATTAATCCATTGGCATAGAATTTGAATTTTTTTATTACTCGCACATTTATAATTTAATAATTTAGAGTGTAGGTTTTAGAGAAAAATTTATTTACTAAAATGTGAATACAAATAAGAAATATGTCTAGCGACCAAACTGAGCAACTTTGTACTGAGTTAAATTTACTTAAATCGGCTTATTTTGATCCAAGGAATCTGTAGTATGTTTTTGTAAAGACCTTTAATAGACACTGTATATTCCTTCCAGTAAATAGTATGAAAAATTGAAAAGACATGGTAATCTTATTTTCAAAGGGGACACTTTTAATGAATATTTTTAGCCTTCATGGTTTAAATCCCTAGAATTTAGAAAATTCAGCAACATGACTATTCATTGGGTTAATTTTTATTTAAGCGCCCTATAGCGGGATAAAAAAACTTACGTACTGTAAAGTGTGGCACTTTATTTGAAAGCTATTTTGATTAGGAAGTTAATTCACAATATAACAAAACATAATTTTTTTAATATTACCTACATGAACTCTAATAATTGAAAAATCGTACAGATTTCTAACGTTCGGACATACAAATTATAATCTCAATGAACTACAATAATAAATTTACGCTATACATAAATCGCTAATAAAAATATCGTTCAAATAAAGTGTCACACTTTACAAAACGTAACAGTTTTTTATCCATTTAGAGAGCGCTAAAAAATCAACGCAATTAATAGTCAAATTGTTGAATTCTCCATAAAATTTCCATTCAAATGAAGGACAGACACATACTCTGACCAAATGAAAAAATCGTCGCCCTCGGTATAGTTATAACCTCCCACTTTAGCATGCCAGAGTATCGATTGACAGTAGACGTTACTTTTAGTGCCGCCTTATATAATTTATTATTAATTGAATGATCACATTTTGTCAATTTTGTTTAAAATAAATTTCTGCTGTATATACTTTAATAAAAAAATTAGTAAGGATAAATACAACCTTTGTTTTAGCTAAAAAAAGTGTAAGTGACCTCTTCTTAGATAAACCCTCTGAATGTAAACCCTTAGTTGTGATAATCAGAAACCTAGCGGTTCTGTTAATTTCACGTCCTCATCTACGTAGACGTGAACTTTGTAATATACCCTTCCACATAACTTATATCTTTTAGACTTTAGGGTCTATGATGGTTTAAGCCTTGAATTATCAAACTGATTAAATAAAGTAGAATTAAACGAAGCAATCCTTTAGTTATTTATATTGTTCTGCTGAAAGTTTGTAGAAGTCACTGGAAGTAATCCTGAAGTCAGGTGAAGTAATCTAGAAGTCAATTGAAGTCATCTGGAAGTCAGGTTAGTCAATGGAAGTCATTTGGAAGTCATTTGGAAGTCATTTGGAAGTCATTTGGAAGTCATTTGGAAGTCATTTGGAAGTCATTTGGAAGTCATTTGGAAGTCATTGTAGTCATGTTTAAATCAGAGGAAGTCCAAGAAAGTCCATAGAAGTCCACGGAAAGTAGGTAGAAGGCATAGAAGTTTGGAAGTCCGGTGTACAAAATTTTGGTAGCGGTTTACCACTCGTTTCTTGGTACCATTTTAACAAGCAGAAAACTTGGCAATCTTTGTCTAATTTAAACAACTATCTATCCGGTACCGGTTAAGAAATAGCAAAACAGTTCGTGTGAAATAGGAATAAAACTATGTAACAAACATACAATGATTTTTTATCAGTTTAACTTTGAAAGTTACTTGTTAAAATTATACGAATGTTATTATCTTTAACATTTTGTAAATGTGAACTATTTATGACAATATTTGCATTAGGTATGTAGCTCGAAGTTACGTTAAAAAACATTTTTAAGTCATTGCATAGCTTTTTTTCGCGGGCTTTGAGCGTGGCGACCGAATCAAGAAATTTTCGTAACGACCGTAACGAAAATAATCTAATAACACCCCCCACTCCGACCGGCACAGCGGTGCAACGTTGAATGCCGTGGAAGATTTTATCCGAATCCGACCCTATTCGTATTAGTATGAAGCGGAGTTAAATATACGTCTGCGGACTGGAACGTTTATGCAATACAATACTACAGTCTTTCTCTACGCTCCCATTGACTATTGGTCACGCGTCTTTTTACAGCTGTATATTTCAAATTAATATTTCGGAGTATAATAAAAAAATGCATTTATTTAGATGACTTATGTTTAAACTTTTAATCTTGAGAGATTAAAAATTAATACAATTAAGTAATAATGATACTTTTATGGTATTTAAATCATATATTTATGTGATTCCATTAAATTACAATGTAGGTATCATTTGACATGATAAAATTTAGTTCCCAATTTATTTTTGTTTAATTAAAAAGTAATAATTCGTAAATATTTGTAATCAAATGTTATACAGTGTGGAAACCACTTATGGAATAAAATTCTTTGTCATTATTTTAGAAAATTATAAAAAATGCCGAGACATGTCAACTTTTGAATTAAGTTGTGCGTTATGTAAACATAAATTTAAATGTACAGGGTGATTCACGCAAGTATGCCATAGTCGGTGTTGTTTTTTTTTAAATGAAACACCCTGTATATTTGCATATTTTTGAAATCCTCTTAATGAACCGATTCCAACAAACTGAATAATGTATGGTCAATTATGAATTATACAGGGTGAAATTTTTATTTTGACAGTTATTAAACACATACATAAAATACCTGATGTATTTGATTTTAATACATTAAAATAAATGCTCAAAATGTCCTCCACCTAGTTGTTGGCAATAGCACAGTCTCCTGTAGAATTCCTCTTTAACTTTGTTTAAAGTTTGAGGTGAAATATTCCGTATTTCTGTAGTTATCCTGTCTTTGAGGTCTACAATGCTAGTTGGTTGTGTTGCATATACTTTGTTCTTGAGATAACCCCACAGAAAAAAATCTAACGGCGTAAGGTCTGGCGATCTAGCTGGCCACTCAATAGTACCTCTTCGTCCAATCCATTTATTGGGGAAGATTTCATCTAAATAAGTTCTTACCATTAAAGCATAATGAGGTGTTGCCCCGTCTTGCTGGAACCAAACATTTTCATTCGGTAAGCTAGGATCTATTACGTTGGGATATAAGTTTGCCAACGCAGGAATAACTTCATTTCTAAGCATATTTGAATATTTTTCAGCTGTCAAATTTCCATCTATAAATATAGGACCAATAATATGGTCGCCTATGATACCGGCCCAAACGTTCACCTTTTGAGGGTACTGAGTATGTGTCTCACGCATCCAATTAGGATTCTCTGCTGACCAATATGTACAATTCTGTCGGTTTACCTCTCCATTCAATGTGAATGTTGATTCGTCAGAAAAAAGAATGGTACCAAGAGCTATCTCATTTCTGTTCAGCTTATTCATCAATCTTTCGCAGAAATCCATTCTACGATCTGGATCGTCTTCTGTTAACTCCTGCACAAAAGTTAATTTGTAGGGATGAAGTTTTTCTTTATGAAGACATCTTAGAACAGTTGTATGACTAACATTATTTTCACGGGCAATTTGACGTGTACTTGAAGTTGGATTCTCTTCGACACTTAACAAAATATCCACTTTCACATCATCTTCAACGAAGTGTGGTTTTCTTTTCAATGGTTTGACATGTCCAAGTTCTCTGAATTGTGCATGAATTTTAGACACAGTACTTTATGAAATATTAGGCAATTCGGGATACCTGTGATTAAATAAGTTTGCCACTTCAACTTGACTTCTGCAGTTATCCCCGTACCCGATCATCATTAAAATCTCAATTCAATGAGTCTCAGATAAATATTTCATTGTTATGTCGACAAGGAACGAGTGTTTGACAAAGATTTTACTTTTTTAGTATAAACTCTCAACACATCAACAACTGACAGAATAGAAAACAATCCACATTATTTACCGATTTTGTCTAATTATTGGCGTTTTTAGGCAATTTTTAGGTATTTATGATAAAATTCATGGGCGTAGCAGGTTTTGTTTAATTGTACAAATACGTCTAATAATTAGTTAGTTAAGATTTTTGATAAATCCATATTTAGCTAATTTAAAAAAGTACCAATATTTCAAGTGTAATAAATTATTAATTTTAAAATTTCACCCTGTATAATTCATAATTGACCATACATTATTCAGTTTGTTGGAATCGGTTCATTAAGAGGATTTCAAAAATATGCAAATATACAGGGTGTTTCATTAAAAAAAAACAACACCGACTATGGCATACTTGCGTGAATCACCCTGTACATTTAAATTTATGTTTACATAACGCACAACTCAATTCAAAAGTTGACGTGTCTCGGCATTTTTTACAATTTTCTAAAATAATGACATAAAGAATTTTATTCCATAAGTGGTTTCCACACTGTATATTAGTATAAACGATTCCAAACTTATATCAAGATGTGCTCGGTGGCGCAGAGCGTACAGTGGTAAAAATTTGGATAGTGTGGATAGCAAAGTTGGTAGTTCGACCCCCGAAACTTTGTTTTTTTTTTTTTCTTAAAAAAAAAGGAAAAATATTATTGTTTTATTATTTCACAGTCTTGGTAATTAAGAATGTTTAGTTCTTAAAAAATATATACTTATTCAATGCCTAGTAGCGCATAACGAGGATCATTCAAGTTCAGCTAATTTTAAAAATGCAAGCTACCAGTGGAGACTTCGTTTATTTAAATTCAAAAAGATAAACAAATTGGAAATATATTTTTTTTCAATAAGTACAACAATATTAACTTCTCATTTATTCAATAAAAGAAAAAAATTGTTTTCTTATCGGTCACCACGCTCAAAAAGTGTAATTTGAATTAATATCAAAGAAAAAACTTGAATTAATATCAAAGAAAAAACTTGAATTAATATCAAAGAAAAAAATACTGCATAAATAAAATAAATAATTATAATCGCATAAGTTGATAAAAAATGCTATGCAATAGCTTTACTACAGCAGTCCCCGAGTGCCACACGTATTTTTTTTATATTAAGATTGCATGATGCGCCAATAAAAGTATTTAACATATAATTTAATGTTGTTCAGACCACAATGTTCAGACATAAAAATATTTGGTCCATCTACGAGTTTTTTTGTTAAATCTTAGAAATATTTCTCTTACTATCAAATTTTTGCAATTAATAATGTTTCGTACCTCAAAAAAAGTTTCAAAATTAAACTTATTATTATTTCAATTTAAGAAATATTCCAATAAAGTTTGAAAGCTTCTGTAATCAATGTAAATTGATTTTGTTTAACAACTGGCCTAAAGCGGTAATTATGTTTACTCTGTATTTGGTAAGATACATAAACTATCAAAAGGCTATCTGTATTTTTGATCCATCAACATTATACTTATTTAACGAGAAGACGTTTTTTCAATTGGAGTACTAGAAGTAAAAGGTGTGTAAAAAAACATACCAGGTAACAATTATATTTGGAATACCTAATATACTAATATAAAAGAATACTTACACTAACGCCAGTAACTAGAATGTCGTTCCTACAATTTTCGGCAGTGTCATGTGTACATCTATGACCGTCCATACACCAGTCACAAGGAAAAGAAGAAGACACGCACTGCGTACAGGAACTGTAAGTGTTGCAGTCGAAAACATGATCTGTAACAAGTATTAAGCTTATTAAAAATAATATTTTACCTATATGTAAAAGATGTGTTACAAACATTTCCTAGTTATACAATGGAAACGTCTATAGTTCTTTTATAGTCTCAAAATAAACATTAACAGCAGCTTTATCTCATCGTGGTATACAAAATGAGTATATTAATGTAACAGATCCGCAACGATATATTATTCGCCCTGTATATTATAATAATTCAACGACAGCGGATGATAGATTTTTACGAATTTTTTATCTGTTAAATGTTATTTGAAAATAGATAGTTAATTCGTACAGTAGTCTTTTTTTTGTACAGTAGTCTTTTTTTTTTTTTTTTTTTTTTTTTTTTTTTTTATTTGGTGTCATTGGCTTCGACTACTAAGGCCATTAGCTTTATGTCAATGTTATTTGAAAATAGATAGTTATTTCGTAAAATAAAGTCTTTTTAATTCTTTTATTATAGTTCAAGTAGGGGAGAGGGTGGAGGGTGCGGCCCCTGGGAGGATTCGGCCAACAGCGATTTTATTTTACTATTTCAAATTTCCCGCGAATTGTCTATGATTTTTGGCGCACAAAAGCTTGTTTTTAGTATTCAACCGCATGGACTGTGTCTCGCTAGTGTTTGTTTGTGTTGATAAATTTTTAAAGGTTTTTGGATAAAATAAGGTGAGTTTTGCAATTTTCAAATTTAAAAAACTTTTGTGAATAATCAATTTGATCAAATATTTCACTTAGTGCATGTATTTAGTGGCATATTGATGGCTATGTTTCATAGATAACCTAACCCTAAATATTAATAGTTACTGGCATATGAACCATGTTTGTAATTTTGGACTTGTGGTGATGCTTCGGCCTCTAGGCAGGTGGAGGTTTCGGCCGCGGCCGAAATCATCCCCATGTCTAGTAAGGGTAATATTTAATCATTTTTTCGTTCAATTTTGTAGATACCTCGAAAATATAAGCGTAAAACTGACAGAGAAGTTGATGAACTGATGATAACAAATGCGATTCGCTCCTATTTTACAAGAGAATGTGACCTAAGGGAGGCAGCAAGAAGATATGATATTAAAAGGACAACTTTGCAATCCAGAATTAAGAAAATGCGAAGCCTAAAACCTGATGAAGAGATAAGAAGGCAACTGGAGGATTCCGGAAATGAAAGCGATATTGACGAACCTTCCAACAAGTTTGGTAATAAATATACAGTTTCACAAGTTTTTACATTTGAAGAAGAAACGCACCTTAGAAAACACATTCAGCAAGCATCCGACTTAAATTATGGTTTGGATTATACCCAGATTGAAAAACTAGCCTATGAATATGCAATAAAAATACCAAACTGCAAAATTCCCAAAACCTGGCATCAGAAAAAGAAAGCAGGTAAGTTTTACAATTTTGATGTTACCTCTTGTTGTCTATACAAAATCTGTATGTTAAGTTACACATTCTAAAATTACACCGAATCTTTAAATATATCTGGAGATAGGCTGACACCTTAGCATTAATAAAGCGATACTTTTGCTTGGGGTTGACGTCAATCACAGCCTCTTGTTTAAGTTTATTTTTTTACTTGATCCTACACATGATTCCTAAAAAAGTTTTGATTTTTTTAGGAATCGAATAGAGAAAGGGGTTCATGGAAAGAAATAAGCAATTTTTGTCCTTAAGAAAACCAGAAAGCACGAGCCTATTGCGAAACACTGGATTTAACAAAGCCCGTGTTGAGCAATTTTTTACAAATTATAGATTAGTTCAAGAAAGACATCATTTTAATGCAGCTCAAATCTACAACCTTGACGAAACAGGCGTAACAACTGTTATGAAGCCAATAAAAGTAGTATCGACAAAAGGAAAAAACAAGTGGGTCAAGTTGCGTCAGGCGAAAGAGGTGAATTAGTCACCTTTGTAGGAATAATTTCCGCTATAGGTAATACCGTTCCTCCAGTATTTGTGTATCCACGTGTGATGAATCCTTCAAAGTACATGATCAATCCACCAGCTTCAAGTTTAGCTTTAGAAAATAAGTCTGGGTGGATGACTGGAGATCTATTTCCGAAAGTACTGGAACATATTGTGCACCACACCAAGTGCTCAAAAGAAAAACAAATACTTCTGATAATCGACAACCACGAGTCACACACCAGTGTCAAGTCTATAGAATGTTGCCGCAAACATGGAATCGTGTTATTATCATTCCCTCCCCATACAACCCATAGGTTGCAACCGTTAGATGTGGGCGTCTACGGTCCATTTAAAAATAAACTTACTATAGCTTTTAACGACTGGATGTTAAGTAATCCAGGAAAACCTGTTACAATTGCAAATATAGCAGAGCTTACGAATATAGCATATCTAACATCTTTTACTCCATTAAACATAATAAGTTCGTTTAAAAATACAGGAATCTGGCCGGTAAATAGCTTGGTTTTTTCTGAATCTGATTTTACTCCAAGCACAGTTACTGATAATGATATAACACTAAACACTGCATCAGAAGCACAAAAAACACCACCCAACCTTAACACTAAAAATGAAAATAGTAACAAAAATATATATGACAATCCACAACCATCCACTTCCAAAAGTTCACAAGAAGACTTGGCTCAAATAAATCAATCATAATCAAATTTAGAAAAACAAACTGTGAAGATAATATTAAATAACTCTAATGATGTAACAAATGATACCAGTCTTCTTAAAACAATAAGACCTTTTCCAAAAGCACAACGGGAAGTAACGATTAAAAAGAGAAAGAGTGGAGGTAAGTCAAAAATTTATACCGATACACCAGAACTAATTGCTAAAAAATCAATTGAAAACGAACGAGAAAATAAAAAGAGGTTAAAGGCTAATAAGAAGACAGTAAAGAGAAATGTGTTTTCGAAAGAAAAGAAGTTGACTAAGGAATCAGCTAGTGAGTCGGAAATTTCAATAGAAGTAGCAGATTCTTCAGATGGCAACGAATCGTTTATTTCTTTAAAAGATATGGATCCCAATGAACATATTTTTGTTAATGATTTTCTACTCGTCAAGTTTAAAAAATCAAAGAATGAGGTTTGTTTTTATATAGGACAAGTCCTTGAAATTGAATAAATTGATGATGGCTTCTACCAGATAAAGTTTTTAAGGCGAAATAGTAATTCAACCAGCTTCCACTTTCCGATTATCGATGACATAGCAATGGTGCAAGTTAATGATGTTGAGGCTAGACTTGCACACCCGCAAAAAGCTGGAACTGCAAGAACCCAATCACTGTTTCGATTCAATTACAATTTCCAAGGAATGGATGTTCGTTAAAAATCTTATATTTTTATTCACAATACTTTTGTTTTAATATATTATACTAATCCAGAAAAATTTATTTTGCTTAAATTAGGATATACAACTTTTGTACCAAATAATATGCTAATAAACATGTCTTTTATACTAATTTATACATAGGCCCTCAGTGCTGGCCGAATCTGCCTCCGGTGGTGGAGGGTTCGGCCAAACTGTTGACATTTTGTTTTTTATTGGGAAAATTTTTGGAAATACTTTATTGTCGCTATTTTGACTTTTAATAGTCTTAGAAATGTCTAAAGATTATGTAGCAATATAAACTATCAGAATTTAAGCCAAAATATGGGTTTTATGAGTTCATTTCTACAAACTGGCCGAATCATCCACCCTCTCCCCTACCTATGACGTAATTCACATGTCATTTTTGTTCCTTTTTACTTTCCTATCTGTATACAGATATAAGGAAAGTATAGGAATCATGATTTTTTTCGACCTCGAGTTTTCGACGGATTTTTTTGGTGAATTTAACATTAGATTATTAAATTTTAAGGTAGTAATAGAGTTAGTATTATTTTGATTTGTAGTTTATGTTATTGGTTTAGTAGTTGTATCTCGTTTATTATTAAGAATTGGTAATATTCAACTTAATTAGGGGAGAAAAGAATGCATAGACCGAGTTCAAGTAATTACAGTTCGTCAGATTCGTCTTGTTGGGACAGAGATGTTGAACGTTATAGAAATAAGAAATCTGGAAAGTAGGACTAAAATATATATATTACGAGTGTGGAAAATCACTTTTCACACAAGTGATGTACAATATTTTTCCTACGACCACAAAATAATGTCATGAAAAAAATGTAAAACCAAGGTTATTATTACTGTAATAATTAAAAAGTATTTAAAAAAATAATCAACAATAATCGTATTTATTCAATTTTCATATTTTCTAAACAAAAAACACTAAAAAAAAAAAATAAAAAAATTCTGCCCCGACAGGATTTGAACGCGGTCGAAAAATGGCAAAGTTAATAAGTTCGACGTCCTAACCACTTGAGCTAATAGCCTTTGTGTCAATTGAATGATCTAATCGGTTATGTATTTAACCAGCATAAACCTATTATAACATCAAAACCATAACACGACACTAATAACTAAACACCAGCTGAACAAAATTGGCATGTACAATGGGGAACTCATGTGCCAACTACGTCACAAGAAACCAGAAACGGCCAAACACATACTATGCGAATGCGAAGCTCTAGATCGCAAAAGACAGGCTCTTTTTGGACAACCCCAGGTTGATCCAACAACGTATAGAAAACACTCACCCAAGGATCTGTACAAACTTGTACAAGGTACAAAGGTGATAGAGTGGGTGCTATGAACTAACATGGGGTAAAACACAATAAGCCAATAGGCTTCAGTGTTATTCGGAGACACATAGTCAGACGAGCCCAGGAAAAAAAACCAGAATAAAGAGCAAACATTATTTTAAAATTACTTTAATAATAATTGTTAAAAATAAATATCTAGGATCTAATTTACAACAATTTCAATAATTTAACAATCATATCTATTTTAGTATTAATATGGACATTACATAGGTAGATCAAAATAGAAATTAGGTGTTTGACATTTTGTGACAACTACTACGGAAAGTAACATTCTCACTCGGATAGAAAGTAAATTCTTATTCATACGCGTGTGATATGTGTCACTTTCCTAAGTGGTCGTAGGAAAAAAACGTTTTAAATCACGTGATAACATGAATACCTACAACAAGACGCTCTCGTTCCAAAACAAATAAAAACGTTCTAAATCATACATTCGGGAACGTATTCGATTAAGTAAACCATATTCAAGGGAACGCCCAGAATCTAATAATTGTGTTTTCCAAAAAATTAAATCAACAAATTGACTTAAATCACAAGTTATTGTAGTAAAACAAAATGAACAGACAACCACGTCTACCACCACACTCCGTAATGTGTCTCCAGATGGGGAAAACGATGTGGAAGTAACAGCAGAACGAATTGAAAGGTTGGAAAACATAATCCATAAATAATAAATTATCAAGAGTAATAGAATTTATCAAAAGACCTCGCAAGATATATAATGGATGGTACTTAAATCAGTTAGGAGAAGCATTTTATTTTATTATTCGGATGCAGCTGGCCATTTTGCTGCGAACAAGATCCTAGAGGCAGTAGTGAAGTGGTAATAGTTTCCTTCTATGCGAAGTTATGTTAAAAACTACATTTCAATCAGCCTAGATTGTATGTATAATAAAAAGCCATCAGTAAAGGGTCTAAAAGTCTTTACAAAATTGACAAGAAAATATACCTGCTTGTGGCTGTTGAATGCTTTCACTAAATTTACCTGCCTTAAAACTGTATCCAACAGCGTCAGTAGTCAAATTTGTAATTTAAATTACTGAAATTTTTCGAGTACCACGCAGGTTTATCTGTGATTGATGTTCTGCTTTTACGTACGATTCTTTTACTTCCTTTTGTTCCGAGCTGGGTATAAAAAGGGTATCATATGCTTTGGTTTCGTCACAAGCCAACGGGCAGGTGAAGCGTATGAAAAGAGTTATTCTTTCAGTTGTAACCGCTAGTGTTGATGACGATCAAAGATGGGATCTTGAATTATGTAAGTTTGGTGTCTAGAATATCACCATACGAGATGTTTTTCGGATACCAGCTTTGGGGGGGTTAGTGTTGCATTTTTAACATTAAAAATGGTCGAAAGGTAGCTAAGCAACTTTCCAATAATACGTACGAAGGTGGAAGAGAGCTTGTAAAAGAGACAATTGACTTAAAAAAAATTATGCTAAGAGACATGCCAAAGAAAAACCGTTCTCCGTAGAAAAACAGGTCCTTGTCTAAGGGGCAAAAAGCTCAACTGATGGATAAAGTAAGAAACTTAAACCACGTTTTTGAGGGCCATTCACTGTAACAGCAGTGTTATAACACGATAGTTATGTGGATGAGGATCTTGTTGGTGTAGAACGCTGACAAACTGCATGTAAGGGAATATGTAACTCAGATAAGCTACAATCCATAATAGATTTGTTATATCAAAAATGTTTCTACCAAACTTTATACTATAATAATATAATATTAATAATGTTTATTTAGATAATGATACATCAATATAAAAACAATTAAAAAATGAGAATAAACAATATGGAGCAATCACAGAAAGAGTCTAAAACTATTTGTACGTAATAAAGTACATATACATAATACACCATTAAAACTGGTAGATAAAACATTAAACGGATTTGAGAATTTGTCTCTATAAAATCCAAGAAAGAACAAAAATGAATTTAAATATTTTTGTAAAATTTTAGAAAAATCTTAAAAAATTATAAAATAGATAATATATTAATTAGTGTAAAAATAATAATAAAAATATAAATATATGGATTTAATAAAAAAAAATTACTGATACAATAGGTTAGTTAAAATAAAATATTACTTACTTTGTACTGGTGGTATAGATGGCAAAGAATCAGTCCTTGGTGTTGTGCAATTTACTCCAGAATCATCTTTTGTAGCGTTTATTATTAATAAATTATCGTTTACCAGATTCAACTAAAACCAAATCAGATATAAATTAGTCGATTATCAAAAAAATTGACAAGTAATATTTTTTATTTTAGGCATGTTAATTTCTTTTAAACAGGTCTGCTAGATCTTGGAAAATAATAATTATTATTATTTGCAATGATTTTAA